ACAAGATGGACATTTGGAGGTCAAGAAACACTTAAACACGGTGTTTAGAAATATAGGTTGGACAGGGCAATAACAGGATATTCAAGAAGAGTCCTAGTGAGGGCTCAGCATCCATAGTGTAGTAACAACCAGAGACCCTGCAATGGACACTTGCAAGTAAAGATATTTGGATAAAGCAGTTTACAGCATGACTTGTTATGTCACACTGCAGCTTCCATGACAAGATTTTAAATTTTTCCTTTTTTATTTTATTTTTTCCTTTTTTATTTTATTTTTTTCCTTTTTTCTCCGAAGTTTTGTTTTATTTGAGTGGAGGGGAGGATGCAGGAGTGGAGGGTACATGCGAAGGGACAGGAAAATGAATGGGATCAAGATATGCCATGTAAAAGGCACATAAAATGAATACATTTTTAAAAGAAATGTAGGTTGGTATAATCAACTTTGGGAGAAAAATTGGAATTTTACTGTGTGTTGGTCAGCTTTCCATCACTGTGAGAAAATACCTAATGAAATCAACTTAAAAGAAAGAAAAGTTCACTTTGGCTCCTGGTTACAGGGACCTTGTTGGTTTTTTTTTGCCCCTGTGGTGATGCGGAATGCCACAAGGGGGTGACACGCTGGAGCAGTGGTTCTCACCTCGGGGTGGACAGTAAGTACAGAGGTTGCGGTCCCTGGCTGAACCTTCAAATCTAAATCCAGCATACTGATAAATTTAGTGCTTGTATATCCAGTAGTAACTAAGGAATTCAATTCCTGGATGTAATCTTAATAAAAATTATGTATTCAACTTTTGCAAGCAAGCATTAGATGTGTATCAAATCATATCAATGCCTATATATGCATATATTTAAATATATCTAATACATATTAGAATATTAGATATATTAGAAACAACCAGCATTCATCACCAGATATATTAGTTACCGTTCTTGTTGATATGACCATTACTATCTTGTTAAATAGGACAACTGCCAAAATTTGCTTTAGGGCTTATAGAACTCTTCATATTAAAATTAAACTTTGTAAAACATCATAACGATAATATATATTTGGGGACAGTAGTTACCTTGGAAATTAAGAAACAGAGCATGGAAGGAGACTGTGGGATGTGGCAGGATGTGCTCATATAGTGTGTGTAACTCAAATAATCTTAAGACAATTTTTAATATGAAGGACTTTGGGTCAAAGTTACCAAAGCATGTCTAATCCTTGCTGTCGCTTTAATATTGTGTCCCCATAATTCAATCACACAGCAGATATAAAAGTACAAAAGCATTTAAGGAATTTTGTAACAAAAAGAATTAATGATGCTATTGCAAAAATTAATCTTCAATTTTTTGGGGTTCGGCTTATGTCCATAGACTTTTTAATGGCTTAGTTTAATGATGTCAGTGATTTATTGCACATTTTTCGGTCTCTCTATGATGGGTGGGTTGGGTATAAAGTGGTATATTGTCATCGGTGCTGAAGGGATTCTTGAGCCATTTCTCTGGGTGGTGGATTCCTCAGTGGAGCTGTATTAGCAACTCACTGAGCATCACCAACAAATGCATGTCTCAAGCAAATCTAGCTTCTAAGTCATGACTGGTGCATCAGTGAACTGTCAAAATCATAGCACAGGGACGTGGTATTGTGTAAGCTAAGATGTTTGCTGTGTTTGCATTGTATTGGCTCAAGCATGGAAAGCTGGCTACATTGACTTCAGCGGCCCTGCTGTGCTTAGCCAGCCTGGCTCAAGGCTGCCTGGGCTTCCCCACTGGCAGGTGAGAAACGAGAGTCAGTGGGCTCTGCCCTTCCTCAGCATCTCAAGCATTGAATCACTGACCAGGAGAACACTGTCAAACAAACCAGTGCTAAATAATCTCCTGGAAATGTTTTCTTTTCTTTTTTTAATTGGCAAATCTGTATGCATGATGCATATACATGCATGTGTGCCTGTATGTTCTCATGTGCAGGAGATGCACACTGTATGTGACTGTGTATGCATATGCTTGTGGTTGTGGAAGCCTGAGGTTGATATCAAGAGTTTCCTCACTTACATATTGAGGCATGACTTCTCAATGGAATCTGGAAGTAATCAATACAACTAGTCTCACTATCAAGCTCACCTCTCCTTCTCCTATGAACTAGAATTACAGATGGGTTGATATATTCACCCATGATTTATCTGGGTTCTGGGAATCCAAACTCCAGACCTCAAGCTTGCATAATTAATCACTAGAGCTGAGCCCTCTCTCCAGCTCTGTGGTTGAACTTACATGGTTCAGTGGTTAAGAGTACCTTCTGCTCTTGCAAGAGGACCTGAGTTCACTTTCAAGCACTTCCATGTTGGGTAGCTCACAATTCCCTGTAACTCTAACTCCAGAAGATACCATTGTCTGACTCCCATGAACACATGCACGCAAGCACACACACACACACACACACACACACACACACACACACACACACACACATACACTTAAAAAACAAAACAAATAGCCAAGACAGGCAGATCTCTGTGAGTTTAAGACCAGCCTGATCTACAGAGTGAATCCCAGGCCATCCAAGGCCACACAGAGAAACCCTGTCTCAAAAAGGCCAAAATAAATAAACCAACAAGTAAATAAAGCAAATATTTGGAAAATAACAACTAATGCTCAGTTCTAACCCACTTGTATGCTAGAGGCACCAAATGACAGAGACCTCTGTTGTTAAAAAGGAAGGCAAAGTTAGCACAATCTTGTTAAACCAGATGCTACACAATGAGGGTTCATTCAGCAAGAAAAAGGTGTGTGGTGGCATGAACATGGACCCAGAAGGGAAGCAGCAGCTGGTGACAGAGAGCAGTCAGCCTGAAACTCTGGAAACACTGTCACAGCTCAGTGGGATTAAACTTTCTGGATGCCATTACAAAAGCACAATTAGAATCAGAATGAGCGCCCAGCACCAGATAGGCAAATGATGAATAGCAATATTGAAATTAAATCTCTTAAACTGGTTCCAAAAAGCAATTAGTTTCCCGTGAAGCAATGTAATAGACAATGCATGATTATCAGAAATGGATGGAAAACATTCCTTGATTGACAGAGAAGTTTAATGAGATGGCCCCAAGTTCTTGCCAAGTGAAGCTTTTATATCTAATGTTCTAAAAGGCAAATGAGGTAGTATGGAAGATAATATTCTCGTGCTTTTCACTTCTTAATGTAGAAGGTAAGTAAACATGTCTTATGTAATTCTGAAGGTGGCATTTACTTGGGTTTTGTGTTTCTATTCTGAATGTGTACTCAAATGAAAGAAAAAAGAACAGAAAGCTGGGCTAGTCCTTCAAGTTGACACTGAGGGGTTTGTGTGTGTGTGTGTGTGTGTGTGTGTGTGTGTGTGTGTGCGCGCACACACACACACCTACACATACAGAGGCCTGAGGTCAACACTTGTTGTTTTCCTTATTTCATTGCATTGCACTAGGTTTTGTTTTTTGGGGGGGAGGGGGATTTTTGTTTTGTTTGTTTTTTTGTTTGCAACAGGGTCTCTCAGGAGCCCTGGTGCTCACCCATTAGACTAGACTGAGTGGCTATGAAACCCGGGATCCTCGTGTCTCTGTCTCCCCAGTGCTGGAATTACAAGAATACACTCGGTACTTTTTTCTTATGTGGATGGATTCTGGAGAGCTGAACTCCCCGCCCCAGTCCTAAAATATACACTCGTTTAAATGTGACTTCTTCTTGCTTCTTTTTGTTTTGAGACAGGGTCTGCCGTTGTAGCTCAGGTTAGCCTGGCCTCTTATCCTTTTGACTCAGCCTCCTGAATTCTGAAATCATTGGTATGATAAACCACCACTTCCACCTGGTGATTATTTTGTTTGCTTGCTTATTTTGGTAGCTCTGCCCATGTCACTCAGCAGTCAGCCCAGCTTGGTCACGGTGGAAGATCTTCCAATGTGTTAAACAAAGTACATTACAGTTTGCCACTGTTTTATCTAGACCTTTTACCTCAGAGTTGAAGAGATTGCTCAGTGGTTAAGAACACTTGCCAAATAACACCTCAATTGGAGATATTTTTTCTATTTCTAATGTGAGGGATTACCTATGCACACTTCATCTAGGCAGGGCTTTCAGTGTAATCATCACTTTGGGGACATTGTGTTCTCATTTACTTAGAGGAGTTTCCCAATTGGCCCCAAGGCTTCCTTTTTTACTTGCTGCTTGTTTAAGATCTTAATATGCTTCCCAGTCTTCATTTTGTTGCTGATTCCTAATCGCATTGCACTGGTTAGCGGGGATATGACATGAGCTCAACACTGGATAGTTGCTTTCAAAATACATTGAACTCTTATGAATTAGTAGCATCAAGACACATGACTCAAATTAAAACAGTCAACCATTTCAATGGATACTTCTTCAAAGAAAATAAATTATTGTCTAATAATGCTATGAAAAAATGCCTGCCCCAAATTGTCAGTCATCAGGCAAACGCAAATTAAAACCATAATTCTATAACACCACACTACTAAGGCACACATGGAGAAACTGATTTTTTTTTACCATGGCAGCAGAAACAAAAATTGGGGTAGCTACTTGAAAACACATCGCCTCATAAAGTTAAAGTTCTACTTTTAGGGTTACATTCAAGAGGTCTGAAGAAGTATGTTCTGACAAGAATTTGTGCATGAAAGTTGGCAGCAACAATGTTCCATGTGTGGGAGAAAGCACATGGTACTCGCCTTTCTCCACTGGGCTCATTTTGCTAACACGATGATCTCCAGTTCTATCCATTTTCTTGAAAATGACATAATTTTATTCTTCTTCACAGCCAAATTGTGTTGTAAACTCCATTGTGCAAATAATCCACATTTGCTTTATTGCTTCATCTCTTTATGGACTCCTAGGGAATTCTGTTATTTGACTGTTGTGAATCCTATCCCATTGCACATGAGTGTAGAGAGGACAGTGTTGTTACTAACAATCATATGGCATAACACATCCAGAGTTCATCAGGGATGAACTAAAAGCAATACCGCATTAACACAATTGGTTATTATTTAGTGATAAGAAGTAGAGTTAATGCATGCCTCATCATCTTGGAATGGCATGACAAGTAAAAGAACACAGATCAAAAACAACAGCCACACATTGTACAATTGTGTAGATGGGAAAAGCCACAATCAGTGAATCCATAAGGACATGAAGCTAATGAACAATGCTCAACATCAATGAAGACAGAGGTTGTAACGAGTCTTTGTACCGCCAGTTCCCCAATATTGATGCAGAGACTTGTAACGTGTAGTCTTCCTGCCCGACGCCTGGGTCCTGCTGCAGTTTTAGCCCCCAAATAACACACAAGACACAATATTAATTATGAAACTGTTGGCCGTTTGCTATGGTTTCTAATTGGCTAGCTATGACTTAAATATTAACCCAGAATTACTAATATATATTTTTATAAGGACTTACCTTTCCAAGGACGCAGCCTCATGCATCCTCTTCCCATAATCACATGGCGACGACTCACCCTTGACTACATTTCCCAGAATCCTCTTAGACTCCTAGTCCCACCTATCTTGCTTCCCTATTGGCCAACAGTGTTTTATTTATACCAATCAAACATATACACAGAAGGACTTCCCCCATCAGAGACTTATTATTAATTATGAAAACTCAGCCTTAGCTTAGGCTTGTTCTGAACTAGCTCTAATACTTAGCTCATTTACATTAATCTGCATTGCCCCACATGGTGTTACCTCATCTTCGTTCTGCTCACCTTGTTTCCTCTGCATCTGACTGGCAATTCCACCTCTTTTCTTCCCAGAGTCCCCTCTCCAGAAATCCTGCCTGTTCTCCCCTGCCTAGCTATTGGCCATTCAGCACTTTATTAAACCAATCACAGTGACACAACTTCACACAGTGTAAACAAATATTCCACAATAAGAGGTGACCCTACTTACTCAGACTAGGGGATTCCTCTCAAAGGAGACAAAAATGCTCTGACATCAATATGATGACCACCGCTAGTCTGTGGGATGATGAAAGTCATTCAGTTATCACATCAAATAAGCAAATTACATGCTACTGACAAAGCCATCACATAAGATTCATAAACAGAAATATCCAAGGGGCACTGAGGAAAAGACAAAGCCTGAAAAACCGGCACAACAGCCCGTTACTAGCAACAATGAGGTCGCCTTTCCAGCGGCATCTTGTGTAGCCTCCACATGAGCTTTCTGTACATGATAAGGAGACAGTTTCAAAACACGGGGTGCATATGTAAATATGGTTTCATATAAACGTACATATTCTATAGTCCAATTTCTAAAGAATCTATTTCCTTACTTGTGTAAAAATACTGAAAATAAATGTATCCAGTGTCCAGCACTGTTTTGCAAAGGAGGAGGAAGAAAAAGACTTCTAGCCCATCCAAATCCTACACTGGTTGTTGCTGCTGTTGTTTGCTTACATTCACTGAAGTTGCTGATGTTCTGGAATAAGGGTGAATTTCTATGTTATACTAATGAAAGGAAGGAAGAAGGGAGGGAAGAAGGGAATAGAGGGAGAGAAGGGGAGAGAAAGTTGGAGGGGGAGAGGAAGATGGAAGGATGCAGGAGGGAGGGGGGAGGGAGAAAAAAGGAAGGACAAAAGAAAGTGAGCATTAAGTGCATGATGATGGGAGCTGTGTGAGCTCCTTGTGTGTCTGTGTGAGCAGCCGCTCCTTGTGTGTCTGTGTGAGCAGCCGCTCCTTGCGTGTCTGTGTGAGCAGCCGCTCCTTGCGTGTCTGTGTGAGCAGCCGCTCCTTGCGTGTCTGTGTGAGCAGCCGCTCCTTGCGTGTCTGTGTGAGCAGCCGCTCCTTGCGTGTCTGTGTGAGCAGCCGCTCCTTGTGTGTCTGTGTGAGCAGCCGCTCCTTGTGTGTCTGTGTGAGCAGCCGCTCCTTGTGTGTCTGTGTGAACAGCTGCTCCTTGCGTGTCTGTTAGCTGATAAGCCTGGCTGAGGTCCCCATGCTTCCTCATCAGATCCATGCTTGGGCTTCAGTCATGACAGCATGGGAGGGGCTGAGCTCATCTCAAGAAAAAAGGGGCGTCCCGAGCTCAGGACAGGGCTGAGCTTTTGACTCCTTCTCTTTACCACATACTCACTCCATTCTTCCTTCTTTTCATTCCTTTTATCTCTCACAACTCATTTCTCCTTTAGGGGCAATGTATGCTGCTTGCTTTATTTTGTATAACTCTTTCTTTGTATCTACACATGTGTAGGCACACAAGTACCATAGTGTATATATACAGGTTAGAGGACAGCTTATGGAAATCAGTTACTTGTCTCCACTATATAGGTTCTAGGGACAGAATTCAGACTTTCTGGTTTAGTGGCACATGCTCTTACCCACTGGGCAAGCTTGTCAGATCATTTTATCCACATCTCCTAGACTTACACTCCATCTTTACTGTTTATATCTGTGAGGAAAAATAGAGCATCAAATAAATAGTTTATAAGGGTTTCTTTATAAAAATAGTCTGCTAACATGGGGAGACAGCAGTACTGTCACAGAGTGGGGAAGCTTTTGTGAGTTTCTTTAGGGAAGAAGAATAAATAGCAGGGATATGCACAGATAGATACACAGACTGTAGATGGCCAGAGAGAGGGAAGCACATAAGTCATATGGATAGTAGAAAAACAGATAATAGGTAAAGAGATGCATCGATGGTAGATGACTGTCAGATAAAGGATAAGCAGATAGATATATGTAGGTAGGTAGAAAGACAATACATACATGATGGATGGATAGATAGAAAGAAAGATAGATAGATAGATAGATAGATAGATAGATGACTAGTAGGTAGGTACTAGCAATGGATGGATGGATACATAGATGTAGGTAGAAGATTGATAGGTAGACAATACATACATGATAGATGGATAGATAACAGATGATAGATAGGTAGATGATGTATAGGTATATAGATGATAGAGATCAATAGGTAGAAAGATGATAGACATAGGAAGGTGGATAGATACTTTACATCTGGACTTACCCAATGATATTCTTCGTGTGGCCGTGGGAACTGAGAAGCCCTGTGGTCTACCATCTTCAGGCAGGATACTGGGAAAACAGGTGACCTGTCTTGAAGGGTCAAGATTCTCAGGGCTAGTGGTTCTGATTCCAGATCTGAGGACCAGGGGTTGCTCTGGAGAGCAGAAGGCCCACATGATGCTGGAACACTCAGGCCTAGAGCACATTCCATCTTCCTTTGAGCTTCTGTCCTGTTGAAGCCAGCATGGATTAGTGGTGTGATTTCATCTGCCTTCTTCAGTCTCTCGGGCAAAATGCTGACTCTACTAGCAACATCCTTACCTCACAGGCACACTTAGAAATGCCCGCTAACTAAATCCATAAAAGTAATTATGTCAGCATGTGACTGTCACTCCTTAGCCTTGTATTCACAGCTTTCTTTGGGCCACCAGCTCGCAAATAATGACACGGAGATTGCTTATTAATTATGAAAACTTAGCCTTAGCTTAGGCTTCTCCCACTATCTCTTATAACTTAAATGAACCCATTTATATTAATCTACATTTCACCCATGACATTTTACCTTTCTTTTACTCTGCATGTTCGATGCCATGTCTCACGGGTGTCTCCCTGCACCTCGTTTGCCTCCTCCTACATCCTGTTTCTGTGCCTGAAAGTCACCCCGCACCCCACCTACTTATGGGCCAGTCAGCCTTTGATCGCACCAGTCACAGCAGTGCGTCTTCACGGTCCAACAACATAGCCCTGACAGGACTAGAGGGAGACATGGCCATCAGAACCTGAAAGGAGTTAGAAAAATCCTCTGCTGGAGAGAGCGTGAGCCCGCAGGGCTGCCTCCCTCTGTACACACTCAAGCATAAAACCTGCCTTTCCCTGACTTGCACAAGGGTCTGTGGAGGTGCAGGCTGAGGAAGCATGGGAGTGTTCAGAAGAGAGATCGGCAGACCACACACACACACACACACACACACACACACACGCGCGCGCGCGCGTACACACATGCTCACACATACAGATTCATGAATGAGGGGGAGGTGACCATTGGTAAACTCCTATAAAGAAATATTTTTAAGAATTTATTTATTTGGTGTGTATGTGCCACGTGTGTGCACGTGTGTTATTGCCACATGTGTGCACGTGTGTGTCATTGCCACATGTGTGCAGATGTCTGCAAAGGTCACAATGTTCCCTAAGAACCATGGGAAACCAGTGCAGCTTCCTGGGACAGAGAGCCGGATAGAGTCGGGCTGTTTGAAGTAGGATGGAGCTCTTAGACCAGGATTTGCCGTACGGTGGCCAACTTGCCTTGTGAGCCTGACAATGATTGCAGTCTGATTTCTTCCCGCTCCAGTTAGCACCTCACCCTGGCTTTTGTTCTCCTGTGTTACTGTGGGAACGGCGAGACCAGCTGCCGATGCGCTTGTGCAGGCCCTGGGCAGCAAAGCTGTGCCGAGTGGACGAGAGTTCCCTGGTGATTACAATTTGCACAGCACTTTGTTTTCTGAAATTGCTTTGGAGAGAACTCTTGCAGGCTCAATTGAACTTTATCTCAACAGCTTTAGAAACGAGGCACTCATTTCAAAAACTGCCCACAATTCATTTTTAATTCACTTTTAATTGCTCTTTCAGAAACAATATTTGAAGAAAGATCTCATGGCAATGAACAAATTATGTTCTCTCTCTCTCTCTCTCTCTCTCTCTCTGATTCTACAAAACAAAATGTGGGGTAGAAGGGATGCAGGACAGAGGAATTCTCATTCTAATTTGCCAGATGATCCAAGTCCTCCAGGGGGTCCTGCAGTTGCTCTGCGTTCCCAGACCAAGCCTGTTCTTTCTGGAGGGTGAGCTGGGGATGCCCTTGGACCCACATGGGAAAGCAGCATCGTTCTCCCTACCTGCTACCGTCCCTGCCAGCCTGCACATCAGTGATCTGAGGGCTGTCTGTGATGTTTACCTCATTTGGACATGAGGTATAGGAGTAATTCTAGCAGAATAATCCAAAGTGGGGGTGGTGCTGGGAAGATGGCTCCCTTGGTAAAGGGCTTGAGGTTGATCCCTAGGACCCATGTGTTAATAAGAGAAAAGGCCAAAAGAGTCGCATCGCATCGTTGACAATTGTAAGCCCAGCACTGGGGGGGAGGAGACAAGTGGATCCCTAGGGCTCACTGGCCAGACAGCCCAGACTAAAGTGCAAGCCTCAGGCCGCTGAAGACACGATCTCAAACAAAATAAGGGGAACAGAACCTGAGCAACAACACCTGAGGTTATCCTCTGACTCTGGTCTCTACATACACAAACACACCCCGACATACATGTGCACCCACACGCATAAACATACACACACAAATAAAGTAGCCCTGATGCTTTTTGATAACTGTTATTGTGTTTACTCACTAATACCAGCCTCATACAGTTGTGTGTCCATACACACCCAGTATGTCAGTGGAATGTGGGGGAATGTACCTCCATTAGAGGCAAATTCTAGGTATTCTGATCACAATCATGTTCCACTGAGATTTGTGGCCTGAGAGCCACACACAGCATGTTTTCATGTTGCCACGGACATTTGAAGTCACTTCAAAGGTCTTTCAAGGCAGTTTTCCTCATATGGAAGGCTTCCTTGTAGAGTATCTGGAGACCAGAGTTATCACAATCTGATTCCAAATCTATCTCTTTAAGACGCTCTCCCGTAGATTCCAGCAGTGACGTCTGGATCTGTGCAGTGTGAGGAGAAGACAGCAGATAAGAAACCCCAGAGCACAGCCTTTCATCGTATTCCAGTGTGGACGGAACTCTGGGCTCACTGCATCATGCTGAACTTTGACCTCTGACGCTTGCCTACATTTTGAGCGTCAGTTCTCAAGGTCACCTGGCTTCATCTCCATAAACATTGCTTTGCCTTACACAAATGCTCTCCTATATTATGGCACAGTTCTTGCTCATTGCTGTGACAACCTGAGGCGCCCCTGCACAGCTTAAGTTCCAGTTCAAATGCTAACCATGTGTGGTGGCTCCCAGGCCATGTGTCTGTCTTGAGGGAAACTCTTAAGTTGCAAGGTCTGAATTTGTTTCCTGTGACTCCCTTCCAATTCCCCCAGATGAAAGTTGGTTTGTGCTTGAAGTAATTCTTTATTTATATGCAATTACAATAAAGAAAATGGCTTTCTTTATTGGTTTATAGGCCTGAAATTGGATATAGTAGCACCCCTCAGCACACACATCCAAAATGAAATTTAAAGTGTAAAGCAAGCATAGTAGACACTAAATAGAACAACAGCAATACTGAGTAAAATAGTGACCCTTAGATCAAACTCTGTAGCATCACAACAGTCTACTTGGTAATGGTCACAGCTGCCTACTGACTAACGAGAAGATAGCATATATGATGGTGATATGCTGAACAGAGTTTGTTCATGTCCTGAGCAAAACAGAGAGGGACGGCTCAAGATTTCAAGTTACTTGGAATGGCAATTTAACTTTGTGGCTTGTTCCTTGAATATCCCATTTACTATTTTTAGATCTCTGTTGACCACAGGTAGCTAAAGCTACAAATGGTAAAAACATGAATCCAGGAGTGGGCACACTGTAAAATATCTTAAATTCTAGCAAAAAGGACCTATGTCACTGGAGACACTTGATGCCAGTTTTGTCACTCCATCCATCTATCCAACACACAGTTGTGTTCTCAATGCATCCCGAAGTCACAAGGGAATCTCTAGAATGTTGTCAAAGACTTAACTCTGTGCCTGCTGGAGTGAGCAGGTGGTGATGGCATGAGACCCGTACCCATGATAAAAGTGAGTTCAGGACTTAAGTCCATAGTGGTGATCTGGGTGAGGCCCATAAATCTAGGGCAAAGTGCCAGCATTTCAGTGCTTTGATGAAAGGCAGAGGGAAAACCAGAATCAAATGTGTGTGGCTCCAATCAACTTTAAATGCCTCGAGTCTCACTCCAGCCTGGACGTGGCTAGTCTCCTACATTGCTCTGTTACAGATTGCACTGGCTGTCCTGGTTGCCTGGCTTATGCACACCCTGGAGGCCCAGCATGTTCCCCCATCATCCCTGTACCTGTTTTCCTAGTGGGCTTCCGGCCAGGACCACAGTGGACTTCAATGGATTCATCGGTGGCACGACACTCTAGCCGTAGACCTCTACAGTTGCCAGGAGATCCAAAATGCTTTCCTGTCTGTTGCCTGAGTGCATGACCAGTGGGCCTCCCTTAAATAAATAAACAAACAAGGAATGGTTTCAGAACAGCTCAGTTGGTAGCAGCTGCAGATGCAGAGAGCCAGTTACCACCCAAATGCAGACGAATACCAACCTGCATGGGAAGACAGCCTAGCGAACGCCTGCGAGCTCACCTCGGCTGCGCACAGAAGGCCAGCCTACAGAGCAGTTCTGAGGGATGCTGCGGAGACTGCTGAGGTTTTAAGTGTGTGCATTAGTAGTACACATGAGAAAGAAGTCACCCTGGGGGGAGGGCTGACGGGGCTGCTGTACAGCACAGCCTGTGCCAGAGTGAGTGGTTGCAAGCAGGCATGCATGCTTGCAGACAGACCTCAATGTGCTACGTGCGGGGCTCTGCATGCACAGCAAGCTCTAGAACGTTAAATAAGCTCTGGCGTGTGCCTTCTCCGCAGCGCCTGGCGTGTGCCTTCTCCGCAGCGCCTCCCTCTCTCCTCGCCTTCTCCCTCCTTCTCGCTCTCACTTGTCTGTATAACAGTCTCCCAACTATGACATTAAGGAGGTGGAGGTGGACTTGATGGTTTCTAAACCAAACGCCAGGGCTGGCATTTAAAATTCCAATCTGCTGATAACTTCTAAGCTAATATGTTGCAAGAGAACACTTACATGGATTTCTAAGGCATTTTTCTTTTTAAAAAAAGATTTTGTGCATGTGTGTTTGTGTGTGTGTGTGTGTGTGTGTGTGTGTGCATGTCTGTCTGTCTGTGTCTGCATGTCTGTGTCTTTGTGTGAATGTGAGCAGAAGTCAGTGGACAGCTTCAACTGTCAGATACCACCCCCTGATTTTTGAGATACGGTTTTACTTCAAGGACAGAAAACCTTCCCTCCCCTCCAACAAAGGCTCACAATTGTCATGGATCTAACAGGTGCCAAATAGAAGGACAAGCATAAGAGAGCCACAGGGAGCAGTGTATAGGCTCCAGTGGTTTCTCTTTAATAGTGCTACAATTATCCCACAATTGCCTTGGAGACAGGTAGACAAGCTTTGGGGGGGGGTTGTAGTCAGTTTGCAGGAGGTACTTGCTTTGGGGACTACCCCCATTTCTTTGCATTTCCCTTCTGCCAATATCTGTAATGACTCACCTTGACATCAGCTTGACTGAATTTGTTATCATCATGGGAAAAAAACCAAAACCAACCCTCTGGACATGTCTGTGAGGTGTTATCTCCATCAGGTTAACTGAGGTGAGAGGACCCATCCTGCCTGTGGGCAGCATCATTCCATGTGGGACCGAAGGAAAAGGAGAAAGTGTTTGCATGCTAGTTTCATTTCTGTTGCTATGATAAAATATCCTGGCAGAAGGCAGCTTAGGGGAGAAAGGGGTTGTTTTAGGTCACAATTCCAGGTCACAGTAGATCACCACATGGACAACACAACAGCAGGGACTGAGTTACATCACATCCGCAGACAAGGACAGAGAGAACAAAGGCACACGTGCTTACTACCAGCTCATTTCCCCACTCTTACACAACCCCAACCCAAACCCAGGGAATCCAAGAGCTCTTGAGTAAAGTGATACACTTTGTTTTGTATGAAACTTGGGTAGAAGTACACCATCAACAAAGTAAGACTCTAGTGCCTGGCCTCATGAACACGTGTCCCCATGGGGTGGGTCTGTAACTAACGACTGTAAATATAGAATATTTCAAGTAATGTGCATGATTATACATAACAGGTCACATACCTATGGGATCACTTCATGGTGACCAGGGAATGCAGAGAGAAGACCTGTACCTTCAAACACGTACCCACGACCCACTTTCTTTATCTGCTCCATACCTCCTAAAATGTTCAGAACCTCCCAAAATAGAGCCACCATCTGGGGAATAAGCCTTCAACATACAATCTGTGAGGAAATTTTGGTTTTCAAACCATCATAATTGAGAATGATTCATACATGGTTGGGTGGACTTGTGATGGATTCTCAAGTCTTTTACTTATTGGAATGGAGAAGATCCTACATAGGTTTTGCTGTTTTAGTTTTTTTTTGTGTGTGGGGGGATGAGGGATACTATTTGCATTTTATAAAATGTCAGCCTTTCAAGAATGTAGAGTAGGACCAAAGGTGGAAGGTCATGTTGGAATCAATTTCCATAGCAACAACTCAGATAAGAACAGTGATGAGATGTCAACATCAACAGGATGTAATGTTGATAGCAACAGTAAGCTGGGGGAAAGGAGTCTGGCTTTGGACATGGTTGAGTGTGGCATTACTACAGGACATTTCCTGGGGAGGTGTGGCCAGATGTCTATTCACACCACACAGGGCACTGACAACACACCAAAGAAACAGCTCTGCTCAAGTCCAGCTTGGTGAACTAATGGGTTTATTCAGGCAACTAACAGAAGCTTAGATTAGGGGCAACTTACTGGATCACTGATGACTCAAAGACATCACGGGAAAGCTCATCCATCCAGCGTGACCATTCATGACAGCCACATCCCTGTGGCTCCATGCACTCCTGGCATGCATCTCTACCTGAGACCAAGTGTTTCCTGCTTTTATAGCCTCAGGGAGGGGGTGTGAGGCAAGTGACTTTCTAAGTTTATTGAGGCTTGTAAGTTTCATTAACTTCTCGAGTCTTCCTTCCTCAAGGAGAGAATGGCTCAATTGGAAAGAGACAGTTAAAGACTTGTTATAAGATCAGGTAGAAGTAGCACTGGACAGTATGAATTGAAGTGCCAAGGAGGGAGGGAAGGAGGCAAGAAGGGAGGGAGGGAGTGTACTGCACTCCAGTTAAAGATTCTACAAGGCCAAATGATTGGATTTGGAAATTATAGAGAGTTAAAATGCTGCAAACCAGAGATTACTTCTCTTGGGTTATTTTAGTTCCTTTGAAAGCCATCCATCACCCACAAAACTCCAAGGAGTAGCCACAGCAGGGTGTGAACCTGTTGGAACAGTTCCCTGGTTTCCTTTACTATTACAACTGATGGGAAACTGGGCTGAAGGTATGCTTGAGAAGTTAAGGTTTGAGAGAATCGTAAGATATGAGCATGTATTAAAAGGAAGTGATTACAATGTAGACAAGCAAATTCACTGTGCTTGACAAGTTGAGGCAGGACAGGGAGGTGACACACTGGATAAGCAGAGAGGGTCAACAAGGTAGGAATCCAGGTGGTTTTGAAGATGACCAGAGCAAAGGTGCTAGAAAGAGGGTGATATTTGTGGGCAGTAAATCCAGCAACACAATGCTGACATTGAGGCTGCTGAGCAATAGGTGACAGGAAGTCCTGTGTAAAGGTCAATAAAGCACTGTTGGCCAATAGGGAAGCAGGATAGGTGGGACTAGGAGTCGAGGAGGATTCTGGAAAAGAGAAACACAGGGAGTCATGATGTAGCCGCCATAGGGGTAAGAAGTCTAGACCCTTTCTCCGGCAAGAGAAATACTTAGATTAGCAATTATGGGGTAAATACTAAAGTCAGAGATAGCCAGTAAGAAACCAAGCAAATGGCCAACAGCTTCATAATTAATACAGTGTCCTGTGTGTTATTTGGGGATTCAGACAGTGCAACAGGGCCCAAGTGGCTGGCGGGGAAGGCTGCACCCAGCAATGATGGATTTTTGTGGTGTTTCTAGAGGAGTGGATGTTCATGGTGGTGGAGAGAAGTCAGTGTATAATTTGTTGAGTTTTGAAGACACCAAGAACAACTTTTTAATGGGACTCATCTTGAGACTTTCATAGGAAACTCATGAAATAAAAACTTCTAAAAAATGATTTGTTTTATTTTCAATTGCATGTATATGTGGGGGTATATTGTGAGTGTAGATGCCCCCCCAGTTCAGTAGAGAGCATTTGATCCCCTGGAGGTGGGAGTGTGAACCATCCAACACGAGTCCCCTGCAGTGCACGCTCTCCACCACATCTCCAGCCCCAAATGGAAACTACTATTTAAATAATTTGCAAAAATACTAACTGCATAGAGCTGGGATTTTATCAGTCCTGCAACCTAGTAAAAGAATTCTCTCTCTCACACTCAATAACATCAAATAGTCCCAAAGTGATGGCGAGCACACAGCTTGCTAGAATATCTGCTTGTCTCAGTCAAACTGAGATTCTCCCTGTGGCACACAGAGTTATTCAGACCTAATTTACACAAAGTGTATTAGCATAACTTCATCTTCAGCACTGTGAAAGAAAATGGACCACTCTGATTCCACGGAGTCCTTGCCCCTCAGGATCAGTCTGGGCTCCTTCAGGAAGCCTCTCCATGAAAGACAATGAATGTGCTGGTGTACTGTTGTTTCAGATTTTGCTGATTTCTGTTTTACGTTTGTTTGCTTGCTTGTTGAGAGAGTTTCACAACCTACCCTTGCACTCAGTATAGCCCAGCCTAACATAAAACAGTAATCCTCCTGCCTCGGCCTCTGGAATTTATGGACACATTACACCATACCCAACTGAAACCTAAATGTAGAAGCATTGTTCAGATGAAATAAGAGGTTGTAGAATGAGGGACCAGCAAGGGGAAGGGTGGGTTATCTGAGGGAGTGTGGTGAGTGGGGGAGGGGGACATATCAGCAGATGCAAGGGGTGTGTGTCAGCAGCTGGGGGGCATGTCAGCAGCTGTGAGGGTCCACCCTCACCCTCAACATGAGAACACTGAAATAGCCACATTGCTTATTGTGACTGGGAACAAGTACAAAGGAGAGACAGGCTCCTGCCACCAGCATAAGTGAAAAGTGAGAGCCTGGATGGCAGAGGCAGCCCAGCAGGGCAGTCCTGGTTGCCTCTGGACCCACACTGTGTCCCTCAGAGAGGCCTTCTGGGCAGACTAGGAACTCGGAGAACCAGTTTTTCTCTCTAAGATGATTGCTGGACCCTTCTGCCTAGGTGCTGATCATAAGGAGGCATAGATGCCAGAGAGCAGACTTCCCAACCCCTCTCTGAGCTCCGGGCTGAACAAAGGTGGAGAGTTTGAGCCAGTCGGGTCTTGCATGCCGACATTTCCTTAGCACTCTGTCACTGAGTGGATGTATCACACAGCTCAACCTACTTAATCAGAAATCTTGTTACAGTGTGCCCCCTCCCTGTAGGGAGCGGAAAGAGCGGTGGTGGAGGGCTGTCTCCCGTCTCGGGGGAGCTTCACATCTGGGTGGGAATAACACATATTCAAACAAAAATCACCTTTGTAGGAGGTCGGTGGGTGACCGAGAGCTGGGTGCAAGACCTGACTTTTTAGACTGTGGAGGTCAGGAATGCGGCAGTCACACCAGGGCGAAGTCAAATCAGGCTGGTCTCAGGACAGAGCTCTGAAGATACAAAAAGAGGGAAGACAGAAAGAAGCCACCCTGAAAACAGCTGGCCCTGGCCCACTGCAGTGTCAGGGCCACCCCTGCAGCCCACAACCCGCCTGTTCTCTGCGCTTGCCTATTTCTATCTGTGGGGCTTATGGGCTGGTTTTTCTCACATTCCCCTGCTCTACTGACAAGCTCAAAGTGTTGGGGATCTGTGTTTGTTGTCACATTGGCAGGCGCTCCCAGAATCTCTAGGAACATACTGACAGCTACAATTGAAGGGTATACCATCGCCTTCGCAGCTCTTTCCAGGTCAGGTGCTCACAGGGTCTGCTCTGGCACGCTGCCCCACAGACTGGAGACAACTGGCAGAGATAGTCGGACCCAAACTCCAGAGAACAGACAAGCCTCGCCAGCCGTCAAGTTCCGGTTCCTTTGTGATCTGCCAAAGCCAACACCTGCCCACTTACATCAGCTCCCTGGAACAGGGCACTGGGACCATAGCTCAAGTCTAGAAAGTGCTTGCCACACAAGTGTGAGAACCTCAGTTCAATCCCCAACACCCATAGAAAAAGTCAGGTGCAATGGTGCAAGCTTGTAATCCCAGCACTGGGAGCTAGTGGTGGATGCTGGGATTCGATGACCACTTAACCTAGCTTAATTGTTAAGCCCCGGGTCCCAATGACAGACCTTATCTCCAAAAGCAAGGTTAGAGAGATAGCTCAGCAGTTGCAGAGGACCCCAGTTCAGTTCCCAACACCCACATGGTGGCTCACAAATGCCTCTAACTGCAGTCCTAGGATAAGCTGATGTTCTCTTCTGGACTCCGGGATCCTTCATGTGCATGGTACACACAATCTCGTGCAAACAGTATGTATGCACACAAATGAACAAATCTTTTTTTTAAAAAAGCAAACAAGGTGGGTGGCTCTTAAGAAATGATCCCTGACCTCCATCTGTATTACTATGCACATGCTCTCAGTCTCACAAGTGCACACACACACACACACACACACACACACACACACACACACACCTAATACAGAAAATAAAGAAGCTTCCTGAAGCAAATCAAGCTGTTTGTCACATTAGGGACTTCTCTGGGCTCCCTTCCACTTTTTCACTGTTTCTCTCTGCATCGTCTCACCTTCTGGTCTCACTCCCCATTCTTGCTCCCAAGTCATTCGGAAGATTCTGAACTCCAGTGCTGGTGAAGACGGTCCTGAGTTGACCTTGTTTTTGCCAGGTCCAGCTTGCTTCCTCCTTAGCTCTTACCACTAAGCAGATGGTGGCTCAGCAACAGTCTTCCTAGCCAGTAGGGACACTGCATCCCCAAGGCAGTTAACTTAGGTCCTACCAGTATGCCATTGAGAAGTGTGCCAACACAAAGTCAGAAGGTTGATAAGTCTGTTCTCGCCCGAGCTCATCACCACACCACCTCAAGGCTTCCCAGTGAGGAACCTTCCGCTTCTCCCACGCCACCCCATCTCTCTGCTTCGCTCATAACCAATCTCCGAGTTGGGTGAGAAGTGTCAGCAGTTCACAGGGAGCCTCCTCCATCCTGCCAACCCTCAGCAAAGACAACTCCTCCACGTCCCACCACAGAAATCCACCCCCAGAGAAATCCTAAAATAGCAGGAAACCTACACGCCATCTTCCTCCAGGCTTGAAATCCGTGGCGTCTGTGGCAGCGGCGGCAAAGTTTGCTCTTCATCTCATTTGTTGTATTTACTTTGTGTTAGTGGGAGGGGTGCCAAGGAGTGGTGAGTCAGAAGGAAGCTGGTTCTCTAAGTTGGTTCTCTCCCTTGGGGGTCAAACCCAGGTTGGCAGGCTCGATGACAGGAAGCCCTGTTGCTTGCTGAGCCACTCACAAAGTTCCCCTTTTAATTAAATGCAGGAGTGATGTCTCTGGGATCCGTACAGAAGAGCATTGGCTCCCGTTGCAGACTGAAGACTCTCTCAGCAGCAAACACATCTATTGCTAGTGCGTTCTTGGCTGTGATGAATTTATTAAAACTTTCCAAGTAGCAGCTGGAGACATGGCTCAGCGGCTAAGGGCACACGCTGCTCTTGCAGAGGAACTGAATTCAGTTCCTAGCATCCATAGCAAGCTGCTCCTTACTCCCTGTGATTCCAGCTCCAGGGGATTGGCTCCCTCTTCTGGCCTCCATAGGCACCTGCAACATGGGCAAATGCATACACAGGTAAATAAAATAAATCTTTAAACAGACAAAATTTTCCAAGTAAGCTGGTCCAAAGTGATATGAGGGCAATGATAGAAAGAATTTTGATTTTTGAAGGTATGTAGGCTATTGTTCCTGAATGGGTATGGAGAAATGCTGAATTTATTTTAACACAATGAACACAATATTCCAAAAGACTGGAAACCTTTATGCTTTAGAAACTCCATGCTCTCCTACACACACACACACACACACACACACACACACACACACACACACACACACACAGGACATATCCTATTGGAGACCTTACACTCTAACTATATCAGAGCATGTGAAAGTCAGACAACTTACAGGAATCAGTTCTCTCCTTCAACTTTTTTGAGGATCCATGGATTGAACTTGGATCACGAGGCTTGGTAGTAATTCTCTCTCTTTTTTTACATATATTATATTATCATGTTTACATATTACATTTCATTATTATTATAAATATGATTTAAAATGTTAGAGAGATGGCTCACTAATTAAGAGCGAATATTGCTTTTGCAACTCAAGTTTGATTCTTAGTACACAAACATCTGTAACTGCCAGACCAGGCAGAGCTAACATCCTCTTTTGGCCTCATCAGACAGTTATATTCATGTGTATATACTTCAACACAGACTTACAAGAACACATATGATTAAAATGAAAATTAAAACATTCAAATTGAATTTATTCACGTAATTTTTATTAGGCTGCCAATTTTTCTTATTACTTTAATTTTAAATAGCTAGCTTCACATGTCAATCCCAGTTCCCTCTCCCTCCCCTCCTGCTGCACCCCCCCACCATTTTCCCCAGCCTCCCACCCTATCCCCACTTCCTTCCACATAGGGGATATCTAGAGTCTGTCATTTCACTCAGGGCAGGGTCCAGGCACTCCCCTAAGAGTCCAGGCTGAGAGAGCATCCCTCTTTGTGTTATGGACACATGAAGTCCATTTGTATACCAGGAATAAACACTGATCCACTGCCCAGGGCCCAATAGGTTGCCCAGGTCAATTTTTATTGATTTCAAAAATTTAACCAGGCTACAGAACATATTTTAACATGGATTAGTAGTAAGTATGTTTCCTTTTTTCTTATAATTATTTGGACTTAATGAAATATATATACATGTATATATATATATTTAGAAAACTGATTTTCTCAAAGCCAAAATATCAAGGAGAAAATGTTGAGCTCATTCCTGCTGAGCTCCTAGAGGGAACCTCAAATGTTATTACAAAATTAGATCTAAGATAATGGAGTCTGGTTACCAAATTAGAAGAAAATGACAAATCATGACTAAGTTCAGAATCTCAATAAGGTATAAATAAAAATACTGTGAGACATGTGTTTGAAGTAATTACTTAATATAAATTTTAATGAAGTTCCATTGTAGTGTGTGTATGTGTGTACTCAGAATCTTGAATGTTCACTGAGGCCTCAAGTTCTCTCATAAGCATAGAAAATTTGAGTGACGTTTAATATTTTTTTCTTTACAGATGACATTTTGTTCTGATCATTGGTCATATTTTTCGGAGCCAAATTAATTCTTTATATTTCATTTTAAATATAAGTTTGCACATTATAATTTACCCTTCTTCATGATTCTATCTGCTTAAGTCTGTTTTCATGTACTTTCTAAAGAAATGTCAACAAAAATGATTTGTGTTTGATTATCTAACTTTATGTATGTGGTTCTCTACATGGATGGAAAACAATTCTATCACTGAAAAAGTAAAGTGAGTTCTTTTTTTAAATTTATTTTTAAATTTAGATTAGAAACAAGGTTGCTTCACATGTCAATTCCAAGTCCCTCTCCGTTTCCCTCCCCTCTCCCGTGCCCTCACACCAACCTCCCAATAGTCCTTCATTTCCCCAGGGAGGGTGAGGCCCTCCATGGGGGTGTCCATAGTCTGTCATTTCATCCAGGTCAGGGTCTAGACCCTCCCCCAAGAGTTCAGGGTGAGAGAGCATCTCACATTGTTGGATGGGAGTCCAAAGTCCATTTGTATACCCAGGATAAATACTGATCTACTACCCAAGGCTCAATAGATTACCTAGGCCTCCTCACTGACACCCACATTCGGGGGGGTCTTGATCGGTACCATGCTGGACTCCCAGGCAACAGCCTGGGATTCAAGAGCTAATCCTTGTCAGGTCAGCTGTTTCTGGGAGTTAAACCAGCCCAGTCTTAATCCTTTTGGTCATCAGTCCTCCCTCTCTGTCACTGGCTTTCTTGAGTTCAGCTCAGTGCTTAGTCATGTGAGTTTGCCTCTTCTTCCATCAGCCACTGAATGAAGGTTCTGTTTCCTAGACTCTCTGGCTCAGGATGGTTTCTTCTAGTGCAATCCATTTGTCTGCAAATCTCAGGATTCCAGTGATTTTTTTTCTGCTGAATAGTGCTCCATTGTGTAAATGTACCACATTTTCTCTATCCATTCTTCTGTTGAGGGGCATCTAGGTTGCTTACAAGTTCTGGCTATTACAAATAATGCTGCTATGAACATAGTGGAACAGATATCCTTGTTGTATGAATGTGCATCTTTTGGATATATGCCTAAGAGTGGAGTTGCTGGGTATTGTGGTAGATTGATTCCCATTTTTCTGAGGAATCTCCATACTGATTTCCAAAGTGGCTGAACAAGTTGGCACTCCCACCAGCAATGGAGTAGTGTTCCCCTTTCTCCATATACTCTCCAGCTTAAATTGTCATTGGTGTTTTTTATTTTAGCCATTCTGACAGGAGTGAGATGGTATCTCAGAGTTGTTTTGATTTGCATTTCCCGGATAGCTAAGGATGTTGAGCACTTTCTCAAGTGCCTCTCAGCCATTTTAGACTCCTCTATTGAAAATTCTCTATTTAGTTCTGCAGCCCACTTTTTAATTGGATCCTTTGGTGTTTTGGAGACTTGCTTCTTGAGTTCTTTGTAAATTTTGGAGATCAGCCCTCTGTCAGATGTGGGGTTAGTGAATATTTTTTCCCATTCTGTGGGCTGCCTTTTTGTCTTGCTGACTGTGTCCTTTGCTTTACAGAAGCTTCTCAGTTTTAGTAGGTCCCATTTATTAATTGTTGATCTCACTGTCTGTGCTACTGGTGTTATGTTCAGGAAGCTGTGTCCTATACCAATTTGTTCAAGGATACCACCCACTTTCTCTTCTAAGAGGTTCAGTGTGGCTGGACTTATGTTGAGGTCTTTGATCTATTTGGACTTAAGTTTTGTGCATGGCAATAAACATGGATCGATCTGCATTCTTCTACATGCCAGCCTCCAGTTATGCCAGCACCATTTGTTGAAGATGCTTTCTTTTTTCCATTGTATATTTTTAGCTTCCTTGTCAAAGATCAGATGTTCATACATGTGTGGGTTAATATCAGGGTTTTCAATTCCATTCCATTGGTCTACCTGTCTGTTTTTGTGCCAATACCAAGCTGTTTTGAGGACTATAGCTCTATAATAGAGCTTGAAGTCAGGGATGGTGATGCCTCCAGACGTTGCCTTGTTGAACAGGGTTGTTTTGGCTATCCTGGGTCTTTTGTTTTTCCATACAAAATTGGTTATTATTCTTTCAAGGTCTGTGAAGAATTGTGCTGGGATTTTAATGGGGATTGCATTGAATCTGTAGATTGCTTTTGGCAGGATTGCCATTTTTACTACATTGATCCTACCTATCCAAGAGCATGGGAGATCTTTCCATTTTCTGAGGGCTTCTTCAATGTCTTTCTATAAAGATTCAAAGTTCTTGTGATACAGATCTTTTACTTGTTTGGTTAGCATTACCCCAAGGTATTTTATGTTGTTTGTGGCAATTGTAAAGGGTGATGTTTCTCTGATTTCTTTCTCAGCCCTTTTATCATCTGTATATAGTAGGGCTACTGATTTTCTTGAGTTGATCTTGTAGCCTGTCACTTTGCTGAAGGTGTTAATCAGCTGTAAGAGTTCCCTGGTAGAGTTCTTTGGGTCATTTATGTAAACTATCATATCATCTGCAAACAGTGAAAGTTTGACCTCTTCCTTTCCAATTTGTATCCCCTTGATCTCCTTTAGTTGTCATATGGCTCTGGCTAGATCTTCAAGTACAATGTTGAAAAGGTATGAAGAGAGTGGACAGCCTTGTCTTGTTCCTGATTTTAGAGGAATTGCGTTGAGTTTCTGTCCATTTAGTTTGATGTTGGCTGTTGGTTTGCTGTATATAGCTTTTATGATGTTTAGGTATGTTCCTGTTATCCCAGATCTCTCCAAGACCTTTATCATGAAGGGATGTTGGATTTTGTCAAAGGCTTTTTCAGCATCTAGTGAGATGATCATGTGATTTTTGTTTTTCAGCTTGTTTATATGGTGGATTACATTGATGGATTTTTGTATGTTGAACCATCCCTGCATCCCTGGGATGAAACCTACTTGATCGTGGTGAATGATTGTTTTGATGTATTCTTGGATCCGATTTGCCAGTATTTTATTGAGTATTTTTGCATCAATGTTCATGAGGGATATTGGTCTGAAGTTGTCTTTCTTAGTTGTGCCTTTGTGTGGCTTGGGGATCAAGGTTATTGAAGCCTCATAGAAAGAGTTTGGCAAAGGCCCTTCTGCTTCTATTGCATGGAATACTTTCAGGAAAATTGGTATAAGCTGTTCTTTGAATTTCCGGTAGAATTCTGCACTGAGGCCATCTGGACCTGGGCTTTTTTGGTTGGAAGACTTTTGATGATTGCTTCTATTTCCATAGGGGTTATAGGTCTATTTAAATTGCTTATCTGTTCTTAATTTAATTTTGGCAAGTGATAGCTATCCAGGAAGGCGTCCATTTCCTTTAAATTTTCCAATTTTGTGGAGTACAGGTTTTCAAAGTATGACCTGATGATTCTCTGAATTTCCTCAGA